AACATTGATCCGTTTATTAATGAACTTACTCATTGATTTGTTTATTAATGAACCAATTCAACATTGATCCGTTTATTAATTAACAGATTAATTGATCCATTTATTAACCGATTCATTGATGATTCATTGATATGTTAATTAATTAACCGATTCGTTGATCCGTTAATAAATGAATCGATTCATTGATCTGTTTATTAAAAACTGATTCATTTATCTGTTTATTAAAACAGATGAATTGATCCATTTATTGATGAACTGATAAATTGATCTGTTTATTATTGAACTAATTCATTGATTTGTTTATTAATAAGCTAATTCAGCATTGATCCGTTTAATAAATAACTGATTCACTGATCCTTTATAAATGAACCGATTCATCGATCCATTACTAAATGAACCAATCAATTGATCTGTTTATTAATGGACTGATTCATGGATCTGTTTATTAATGAACTGATTCTTTGATCTGTTTATTAATGAACTAATTCGGCACTGATCCGTTTATTAATGAACTGATTCATTGATCCTTTATAAATCAGCCGATTCATTTATCCATTTAAAATTAAATAAGTCAGTAATCCGTTTATTAATGAACTGATTGTTTAATTCGTTTACTAATGATCTGACTCATTGATGAGTTTATAAATGAACTGAATCATCTGTTTACTAATGAACGGATTTATTGTTTACTAATGAACGGATTTATTGCTCTGTTTGTTAACGAACTGATTCACTGATCCGTTTACTAATTAACTGACAGGACCGGCGTGAATCTGTCTTTTCTCTGGTTGGACAGGAGAGTTGGCGACCACAGGGGACGACAGAGACATCCATGACCGAGACGTGGACTGGCTGAAGCAGTCTGACGGTTAGAGCTGGTCACTGAGGTGGGCCCTGATTGGTGGACAGCTGAATGCTGACCTCTTACCTGTGTTTGTGTCTCAGTGGTGGTTGCCGAGGTGACGCAGCCATCTTTGGGTGTTGGTTATGAGCTGGGCCGAGCTGTGGACATGAAGAAGAAGAAGATGCTGTGTCTGTTCCGGCCGTCATCAGGACGCAGTGAGCTCACTTCCTGTACGGGTTGATCTGATTGGCTGTAGTTTGGTTGCTTATGTGCGTCCGCCCGCAGCTCTGTCGGCCATGATCCGAGGAGCGGAGGACGGGAAGCGGTTCCTGGTCCGGGATTACAGCGAGGAGGAACTGGAAACCATACTGAGAGAGTTCTTCAGCAGCTTGGAGGCAGTCTAAGCAACAACCAATCAGAGAACAGCGCAGACTCACCTTGAGAAAGAGCCACTGCCACCTGGACAGGCTTTTATTGTGAAGGCCTGTTGGAAAAATGTGCTGAATGTTTCAAATAAAATCTTGAATTTCATTCCTGGTGTGAATTTATCTTTGGTGCATGATTCTACAGAGCAGGAGGCGGAGCTAATCATCCTGATCAGGGCAGGGGGCGGGGCTAATCATCCTGATCAGAGCAGGAGGCGGAGCTAATCATCCTGATCCTGAATCGATTCATTGATCTGTTTATTATTGAACTGATTCATTGATCCATTTACAAATGAAATGATTAATTGATCAGTTTTAATAATAAACGTATTCATTGATCCATTTATAAAATAATTGATCTGTTTATAAATTAATTGATTCTTTAACCCTTTTACTAATAATCTGAGCTAACAATCTGATCTGAATAGTATCTAACTTTCCCTCCATTCCCAGGAAGCTG